GTTGGTGGTCTAACAACGATTGTTTAATGATTTCACAATGTGTAAAAACACTGATCTCCATAACTCTAATTGGAGAAAACCATTCGGTATCACTGTGAAGCTACACCAAACTACTAAATTATCACTGATTCGAAAACGTTCAAGCTATTTATATTTAACGTATGTTGTGAACAGTTGAATTGAGAAACAGCCAATACAAGACTGAATTGTGTTTAGATCGAATTGCAAGAAGAATAAAATAGCTGCAATATTGTTGAATGCAAGCATCTTCGGGATGCGGTTCTCCCCGTCGAAATGCAAAATGTTGCTTCAAGACTGGGTTGATTAACTTTTGCCAACCTGCGTCACTTATGGCGTAGGCGAGATATCCGTTTGCTGACTAAAGGACGAGTGTACTGCGCAGCAGTTCTCTCTATCCTACTATGCGGATGCGAAACATGGCCGTTAAGAGTAGAGGACATTCGCAGGTTACTAGTCTTCGACCATAGGTGTATCCGAAGCATTGCTCGTGTATCCTGGGACAATCGTGTGAGAAATGCTGTCGTTAGGAAACGAGTTCTAGGTAAGGATGGCAAATCAATAGATGAAGTATTGAAACTTCGTCAGTTGAAGTGTTTGGGACATGTGTTACGTATACATAACCACCGAGTGCCTTGACGAGTGATGTTTTGTGGTGTAGGAGTAGGTTGGAAGAAAGCTAGGGGCGGCCAAACCAAAACATGGCAGAAATCCATGAAGTCACTGACAAGTGGACTGAATCATGTTGGTAAATGTAGACTACCTGGTTGGGGCCCGCGGGATGTTAATGATCGATGGTTAGAGACCCTTAATGACTTGGCTCAAAACTGCTTGCAGTGACGCAGGTGGATTCATTCTTTGTGTTCTCACAAATCCTAATCTTCTGAATTCCTCATAATCTCTATCTTTCTCCTTCTAAATTTATCTCACTGAATTATACCTTTCGAATCATATCTTTGCTCCCTAATCTTCTCCATTACTGCTAATAATTCTACTATTTCTACTACTATTGGATTTGAACTGACAATTACGTCTCTGTGCTGATGTGGTATGGCAACCTGAACTAATGTACTTATGTACGAAGTTCTGTGTTGTATCTGACTGTCTGTCTGCAATATTGTTGTTATATGTGTATATATCGTCGAAATTAAAAACTAGACTAGTTCAATATATATATTATAGTTATGAAGATTGTCGTCTTCCCAATAGTATTGTGGTGCGCACTACTTATAAGTAGTATATGACGTAGGTGTCAACGTAATGTCTGGCAGAAGAAGATGGGGGAAGATTAAGAAAGGAAGAAGAGTGGGAACACAATGGAATTTCTATGAAACGGATGAATAGTGAAATGTCAGACAATCAATTGATGATGGATTGAAGATTTGCAAATTAACGGTTTACTATATGGTTTTCCTATTTTACTGAGTAACTCTGTAATTTTCGTTAAATACAATTCGGTTGCCCTCACCTGTGTTCTCCTTCACTACAGTATGCTTATCGTAGTAGTGACATATAATTTTAGTTTACTTTACTAAATGTATTGTTGACTAATCTTGTCAACAAGAAACCAAATTGAATTAACGTCAGATAAGAAATTATTATTGACAATGTGTCTCTGAAGCAGATCAAACTGCTTACAGCGTTCATCTGTACTCTCTCTCTTTCAATACCAAAAACCGCCGTTATCTAGCAAACTTTCATGCATCCTGAAAATGCTTGCATTGTTGCTTAGGGTAGTCAGAAGACTCTGCATTTTGTCAGCGTATTCACCAAGTAGGACAATGTCATCGGCATATTCTAAGTCAATAAGCGAGCCACCCGGTAGAAGGTCTACTCCTGAAAATTCAGACGAGGATAAGGTTATTTCTAGGAGCATATCTATGAAAAAATTAAACAAGAATGGAGAGAGTGGACATCCTTGACGGACACCACTTGAAGTGAAGAATTCCGGTGACAGTTCGTCATAAACTCTCACTCGACCAGTGGTGTTCGAGTAGAGAGCTTGTATAAGTTTGATGTACTTCTTTGGTACACCTTTCAATAACAGACACTGCTATAGAACCTCACGACCCACTGAGTCGAATTCCTCTTTAAGGTACAGGAAAACAACTATTGTCAGACGTCTAAATGTGTGTCTGTGTTCCAGGGCCTGTTGTAGTGTGAAGATGTGGTCTATACATCCACGTCCAGCTGAATTTTAGTTTACTTTACTAAATGTATTGTCGACTTGTCTTGTCAACAAAAAACCAAATTGAATTAACGTCAGATGAAAAAATTATTATTGACAATGTGTCTCTGAAGCAGATCAAACTGCTTACTGCTTACCAAAAACCCCGTTATCTTGCAACTTTCATGCAAAACTTTTAAAAAATGAAATAAACCCCCACTACATCCATTTTTTTTCTTCACAACGTAGAAAAAATAAAAATAAAACAGAATTACTTTTTTTATATTAGAAAACATGTATAATAAGAAAAAAATGTAAGGCGTGGATGGTTTGTGTACAAAGAATGTGATTATTCTGAAAGAAACATCATCAACAATGAATGAGTGTTATATTGTTTGCCTTTGTTAATCATTATTATGCATTCGTCCACTTGTACCTCCACCACCTCCACCACCTTCACGTACTTCAATTTGGAATTTATACTCTTGATCACAACCCATATATGCATCAGACATGAAAAACAATGTGAATTCATGTCGACCTGAATGTGTCGGTGCATTTAAATCTAAACGAACTTTCATTGATTGTGAAACAAATAAACGTTTAATTGCAACTAATGAATTGGTTTTCAATTCACCGACTACTAACCACCAACCTTCTTCACGTGGCTTATAAAAAAGAGAAAATAATTGAAAAAAATTAAAATCATAAGGTTTGTGTAACTCGATAATCTGGAAATTAACTTGAAGAATAACTCTGCCTGGAGTCGCATTTTTTAGAGTTAATGCTGGTCCCAAACCCTGAATAAAGGAGGAGGGTTGAGATGTAGGTTGGCGACTCCATCCCGGAACAAACTAACTTACCAAAACAACGCTAACAAGAAAAAATAATTCAAACCATACAAACTCTGCTCTGGGAGTTAGAAGGTCTTCATTTAGAAGAATTAAGACGTCTCATGATGAAAGCTGAATTTCTTCGGAAGTCATGGGGCTGACGCCCTTTCGAACAACCAGAACCCTTCCACGGTGTGGGCAGCCGGGAAGTTACATTCACCCTCATACCCGTAAAAACACACGAGACCTAATTGGTCACAATCAAATCCTTAGGTGTATCATGGGACAACCGAATAAGCGATGCTGTCGTTAGGAAACGAGTACTAGGTAAGGATGGCAAATCAATAGATGAAGTAGCGAAACTTCATCAGTTGAGGTGGTTGGGATGTGTTACAAATGTCCAACCACCGACTGCCTCAACGAGCTATGTTTTGCGATGTAGGAATAGCTTGAACGAAGGCTAGGAGCAGCCAGACCAAAACATGGCAGAAATCTATGGAGTCACTGACAAGTGGACTGAGATATGTTGAAAGGTGTCGGCTACCTGGTTGTGGTATGCGAGATGATAGTAATTGATGGTTAGAGACCTTGAATGACATGGCTCAAAATCGTTCGTAATGGCGCAGGTGCATTCATTCATTGTGTTCTCTCAAATCCTAAACTTTTTAATTCTTCATCACTTTATCTTCATCTTTTTAAGTCTGTTTCACTAGTTTCTACTTCCTTAATAATATCTTCTAATCCTAAGCTTTCCGACTACTGCTGATACCTCTACTATATCTACTACTATTGGATTTGAATTGACAATTACATGTCTGTGCTAATGTGGTATGGCAACATGAACTGATGTACGTACGTACGAAGTTCTACGTTGCTATTGATTGATTGATGCGATTACCTAAAGCCACTTTCTTCGGAGTGCTTCTGTGAACTCCAATCATGCCCTTGTTCGAGCCAATCTTATTTTTACGTCTCAGTGGTCCTAAATGGATTGTTCTAAGTGAATTGGCTGCAGCTTTTGTTGCAACTTAATATTAAACTAGGCTAAGAGTTTACGGTTAGCTCTCATCTTAGAAGTAAAGTATAAATGAGCATTGGTTTCATTTGTGCGACGTCATAAAGGTAACAACTAAAGTCTCTTGTATAGTTAAGCATTGAGTTTCTACAGGTTCATTATAAGTCAATGAAGCATGTCGATCTACTCCGGTAAACCTGGAGTTCGACAATAAACGTAAATTTTTACGTAAATGAATCGAGAAAAGTTTTAGTAAACAGAGAAACCAAATGTTGGTCGGAGTGTGCTAACGAGTTGGACACATAAGGGTTTTGGACGATGGACAAAGTTCTTCAACGCATGAAACGTGTTTTGCACTTTTTAAGTACAAACTACTTTCACAAGAGTAGCAGGAGCCTGAAGCTGTACTCACTTTTTGTAGTGAGAAGATAGTAGTAGTCGAGAGATTTGTTTATCTAGGAAAGTGCTAGTAGTCAGTGATGTGATCGATTCACGTATAGTGAACGCAAGAGCTACTTTTACCAGTCCAAGCGATCCTTAGAACTTTGGTGATATCAGTCTGGCTGTAAAAGGTCAGGTTTAAAACGCGTCGATGAGGGCAGCTTAGTTATATGCTTGTGAAACCTGCGCTGTTGGAGTTGAAAACGTTATGCGACTTTTTGTGTTCAACCATTGTTGTCTCCAAAGGATTTCTGACATTTAATGACACCACTTTAGTAATGCAGAGGTTAGGTAACATGTGTTCGAGAACAACGACGATAATTCAATTAGTGTCACCATCTTGAAACACCGACTTCGATGACTTGACTTATGCATTTTATTTAGCGACGCTGGGATTCATGGTAAAAAATGGAGGGACTTTCAATATATAGTATCGTAGTATGAAATAAACCTATAGAGTTGGCATCTGTCGGACGTTCATCACTCACTGGTTGAGATCCTAAGGATAGTACAACACATTAGCTTGAGACTTTATCAAATATAGTCGAGACAGACAGACAGATACAACACAGAAATTCGTACATAAGTACATCAGTTCAGGTTGCCATACCACATTAGCAGAGAAACACAACTGTCACTTCAAATCCAACAGTAGTAGCGATAGTAGAATTATTAGCAGCAATCGAGAAGATTAGGGAGCGAAGATATAATTCGAAAAGTATAATTCAGTGAGATAAGGTTAGAAAGACAAAGGTAGGGGTGCTGACGAATCCAGAAGATTAGGATTTGAGAGAGCTCAACGAATGGATGCACTTGCGCCATTGCAAACGATTTTGAGCCATGTCATTCAAGATCTCTAACCATTGGTGACTTTCATCTCGCGGACCCCAACCAGGTAGTAGATACCTATGATCGAAGACTAGTAATCTACGAATGTCCTTTACGGCCATGTTTCGCATCCGTATAGTAGGACAAAGCGAAATGCTGTGCAGTACACTCATCCTTTGGTTAACAAGCGGATATCTCGCCTGCGCCATAAGTGACGCAGGTTGGATATAAGATACCGGAGCTTCTGAATTGATTTTTTGATTGAGTTTTTCTACACTGATCTGCTTCTTTCATTATTATTTACTATTCTCATTCACTTATTTTGTTTTATACTCACCTCTTCTTTTTGTGATCTCGCGTTAACAATTTCATTTTCATAGTGTTGATCTACCAGGGTATCAGGTACCACCCTACCTATGTGGTTGCGCCACAAAATTGAACTGTACCGTTCACGTTGTAACATTAACACGTGAGGAGTGTCTAGTTCTGCTGAAAACCAATGTTAAATTACCCTTGTCTATTGAGGGTGAATTTATGCAAACATTTCATGATTGTATCATGCGGATTGATTTCAATGTTCACTTGTATCAATATTATTGAAATTAATAACAAATATATTATATATAGAAATGCAAGATGAAATATAGTCAGTCTTCTTACCTGAGAAAAGAATGGTGCTATAACTGGACCAACATTATCTTCTTCACGTTCTAAAGATACTTGAACAGTTAATGTTTCACCACTAGGAGTAAATAAAATTTAGACATGAAAAAAAACGAAAAATTAGGTGATAAAGATTTCAATCAGTCGAAAATTATTTATAATCTTTGTACTGTGATCATGGAGATAACAGGGTTGGTTATTCAGAGGTATAGAAACGATTTAACTATGACTAGTATGCCCTCACGAGTATGAGCGCGGATGTCATTCCCTGGCTGCCCACATTATGGAAGGGTGTTTCTTGAGGATCTCGAATAGGAAGTTGGGATAGTGTTGATCTTGGAGACCTGGGAGCGTGACCACAGAGTCCAAGGGACAACTGCTTGAGGCCGGTCACACATGGCCTTTTTATGAGTTTTTAAAGTGTTAGCTCCGCTCTTGTTTAAAAGCCCTTACCGCCGCAGACGGAAATCCGTGATGTAGGGTGAGGTGTGACATTTTTAGGGTCGACCTTTTCTAACCCCTTCGTTCATTGTCAGAAGGCAGCATCGCTGCGTATGCTGGTTGTCCGACAGAAACACCTTACTTCTGTCAAACTCGTCTACAGTCAGCAGTACGACTTTGCCCTCAGACCTTAAGTTGCTAGTTTTAGTCTTACTATACTCCAATCGACCTGCCTGGCATGGTAGAATTTACAGGAACGTCTGTTCCAGCCAATAAAGCCCGGTTGAGTCATCACAACAGGCAAACACGACCACCACGTCCAGATAGCAATGCTATGCAACTACCTACAACTTAGCAGATAAATTACTGTCTGAACACAAGATTTTTTATTCTGAATCATTGAAAACTGGAAAGCGTACTGGATAAAACTATTTTTTTAGACTAGTATGTGCACACACACATGTCTTAATACCAGATCATCCAGTCTTGCTGCTAACGATAGAGTTAAGATTTTCCATTGGTCAACACTGAAATGTCAATCCCCCACAAGTGCCATGGTACGCCTGAGGGTGGGAGGAGTTCACTCGTTATCTCGGAACGCTTTCATAGAATCATGCGCTTATAGTCACTAATAGATAGTTCTTATCCATTGTCTTCTCGTCACAGGTATTTTTTTTAACAAATTGAGAATATCGAAAGCGAGTGTGAGGTGCTTTAAGCAGGTTGGAAAGTGCCGAGGATGCACATAGGTGAGTTAGAAAATCCTGATTCCTAATCAGCGGTGCACATGGTCGCTAGGATCCCGAACGAAAAAATAGCTTATGAGCCTAGTGTTGACCACCGACTAATACGAGAGTGAACCTCTTGATGTTGCTCCACTACCCCTATGGATTAGATATGTAGGTGAAATGCATGATGAATTCATCGTTAAGAAAATTGTCTCGTTAGGGGTCTATGCGTCTGGACAGTATCCCAGCCCGTACACATACTCAGTGCGTAGTGTGGCTGACAAATATTTAAATTTGCATTACGGGGTTGTGAAGATTGTTAAGTTACACATTTTTTGAAACCATGAATCGATCAATGTTAGACCACCATTAGAAACCTGGAAGCACTGGACGGCCGTTTCGTCCTAGTATGGGACTCCTCAGCAGTGCACATCCACGACTCCTGCACCCCGCAGGATTCGAACCCAGGACCTTCGGTATTGTGGTGGTCTAACATTGATCGGTTCATGGTTTCAAAAAATGTGTAACTTAACAATCTTCAAAACAACCCCGTAATGCAAATTACCTGTGCTCACTAGTGACTAGCTTCGTGAGGAATCTTCTCCGAGTTCTAGTGGGAAGACGTGACCAGTGAAGTTCAGCCTGTTCGGGTGTAGGCATTGTCTACCGAAGACTGTGTATGAGGTTGCGCAACTCCGTGAATTTGATCAAGTTAGACA